AACCTAGTGCAGAAGGCAAGGCAGAGGGAACAGTCAGTCCACAACACAGACAACCCAGCACTTGGACTTTGGAACCAGACCACCCGGGTTTGACTGAATCAGACTCAGCCAAGTATGGCCTTAAGCATTACTTCACCTCTTCATGCCTCAGTTTCCTGTCTTAGCACTTATTCATAGAGCTGTAGTGAGGGTTACAATGAATAAATCAGAAGTGCTCAGAGCAATGCTTAGAAGAGAGTAAGTGCTAAAAAAATTGACTTATTACATTTATAATAATTGGCATTATTATTAATTCCTCATCATAAATTCTTCAGCCCTATTCAACCCTTCTCTCATCTAGCTATCTTCTAATCTCATGGGCAAAAGAGAAGAAATTCAGCCACACAAAAGGAATTATTGAAGAAACTTTATTCATGGAACAAGTGTGAAAATTTTTTTTTATTGGTATTAAAAGGGAATGTTAAGGCTATAATACCAGCTCTTTATTCCTCAAGCGGAGTTGTTACTGTAATGGTGTTCTTTGAGCCACACAGCTAGTCAGCCCCTTCTCTCTTCATTGGAGAACCATGAAATCTATTACAGTCCCTTAGACGGGCAATTTTCAATGAGAAATTGCTACATTTGTAAAAAATACATTGACCATGATGGAAAGATTGTATACACATCTACACAATGATGACAAAATTGGACACAACTAAAAGGTTTGGGCAGCCCAATTCTCAGGAACAAAACCTAAAAACTAATGTCACGATACCCATAAAAATGCTTTGATCACAGGACAATGACCTAAGCCTTTAACTCACACTCCAGTGTAGATGACCTCAATGGTGTGGCAGGTTAGTGGTTTTCATTTTTTTTTTAGCAGAACCCTTTTTCTCAAATAAAATCTCACATGGAGTCCAAATATGTAAATGAAACCAAAAAAACATTACTGAGCTGCTCTGGGTTAAAAACCATAGGATGACAGTTCCTTCAACCCAGCAGTGGCTCCTTGAGTTCTGCAAAGAATTATCTAGGCTCCGTGACATCGTATGAGGTCTCATGAGTACCCTCCTCCCACAAATTCAGATACTTACTTGGAAAAAATCTTGGAAAGCTGAGGAGAAGGGTGTGTTGCAATTATCCTAAAAAAACTGAGCACTCTCTAGAAAGACTACAATTATTGGATCATACCAAGTTCTAAACTGCATTAGAGTAAAGAGTGTCTAATTTCTTTACTTCCATCCGGTAAGTGGGGCTCTTGAAGGTATATCAGCTCTAGGCAAACTTAAACTGCATTTTCTCTATACATTACAGTTGTAGTTTCAGTAAATTTGTAAACTTGTGACTTTCTCCTTCGGTACCAGGCTTTCTCAATCCCAGCACCATCATCATTTGGGGATGAATACTTCTTTTTTTGGGGGGGAGGGGAATTTGTTCTTTGCCTTGTAAGACATATAGCAGCATCCCTGGTCTCTATACGCCAGATGCTAGGGACAACCTCTAAGTTATAACAAGCTACGTTACCTCCAGACACTGCCAAACGTTGCCTAGAAAACAAAGTCACCCCCAGTTGAGACCCCCGTTTTAGACCTACCCCTTCCAGACCATTTCCCATAGTGGCAGAAGAACCTAAGACACAAATCTAACCAAAGGCCTCCCTAGCTTAAAGCCCTTCCATTCATTCACTCAGCCCCGGGGCAAACACGTGTGAGCACCTGCTGTGCAGACTTCATAGCTCCACACAGCCCTCAGAGGATGCCCTTCTACCCCAGGCCCTACTTCATCTGACCCCACCTCCCCTGGCACCTTGACTTCCCACAGCCCTACCGCCTGGCCATCATGTAATACCTGAAGATGTCTTTATACTACGGGGATTTCGTACTTGCTTGCCCCTGTCTGGAATTCCCTTTCTTAACCCACTCACTTCCTTGGGAGCTTTCTCTCTTTTTTTAAGATTTTATTTATTTTTCTTTAGAGGAGAAGGGAAGGAGAGAGGGAGAGAAATAGCAATGTATGGTTGCCTCTCATGCGTCCCGTGCTGGGAACTGGCCTGCAACCCAGGCATGTGCCCTGATGGGGAATCAAACCACGGTTGTTTGGTTCACAGGCCCGTGCTCAATCCACTGAATTACACCAGCCAGCGCCAGAGCTTTCTCTTTTTAAACATTGTACAAAGTTCCATTCATGTGCCAGTTTCTGGGGATACAGTTAGCAGCCACATACAATTTCTGCCCTGCTACGACAGCTGCCACGATACAAACACCTGTCTCTGTACCTATTCCAATCATGGGATGGCTTGTCTGCCTCTCCCAAGAGACTGAAATTCCTTGAAGAGTCTCTATATATGTTCAGCATCCACATCTGCTAGAAGAATGAATTAAGGAGCCTAATATTTTCCTACACTTATTCAAAATTTTAAGGGATACAATAACAGTGTTAAGAGAAAGCAGAGTTTGCCACCCCAAAATATAACTCTGGAATGTTATTTTAATCTGGTTATTTTTAAGAAAGAAAAACTTCTAAAGAAAACTTTGGGCCTCCTCCTTACCTGCCTAAAGGAATCCAGATAGAAAAACCTGCTTAAAGGAAGGGAGCTATCACCTTAGCAGAACATACACTAAGTATTGCAGATAGGAAGGAGCCTGGCAACGTGTTTATTAGACTCTCCTCTGGGTCCTGCTGTTTCTGGATGGTACAATAGGAGTGTTTACCAAATGTTTCACTTTCTCACCTACCTGTGAATTGCCTGCTTTACCTTTGAAGCCCAGACCTCTGCCTCCTTGGCCTTAGTCCAGAACGGCATATAAGCTTTAGTGCCCTATTTATCCTTGAGTCCTACCCTCTTAGGGAACCCCCGTATGTACAGATATAATAAATTTAGTTATTTTCTCCTGTTAATCTGTCATGTTAATTATTAGACCAGCCAAAAGGACTTAGAAGGGTAGAAGAAAATTTATTTTTCCTGCCCTGGCCAGTGTGGCTCAGTTGGAGTGTCATCCCATAGACAGAAAAGTCGAGGATTAAATTCCCATCTGGGGCACATGCCTCAGTTGCAGGTGCAGTGCCCACTCAGGGTGCAGGTGGGAGAAAGATGACTGATGTTTCTCTCCTTCTCTCTCTCTCCTGCCCTCCAAAATCAATAAGCATGTCCTGAGTGAGGATAAAAATTTTTAATTTTTTCTCATTTCTCCCCCCGTTTGCCACTAGAAAAGAAAAAAAAGCAGAGAAACAACTCGCAGAGGATGATACAATAGGAAAAAAGACACTAAAACTCCCCATAATACATTGTTAGGACAGCAAAAAAGCAACAGATATTAGGTTGGAGGAATGAGTAATCAACTAACTTTAGTTCTACTGATTTTAAGATGGCTGGAGAAAAATAACCCTAGTTGAAGCTAATTTTCAGTCTTCTCTTTAAAAGCTTTGTACCAGCTAAAAGCCGTGTATTAGGTTAAAACCCTCTGGCTTCTCTAAATTAGTGTCCAGACAAATTGCAAACATCACACCATCCAGTGGTCACTGTGAGCCTGCTTTCCACAGGCTGATTGATTTTTTTATAATGTTGTAGGCAATTTCAAGTTGTCAGTAAGAACTAATTCTGTCTCATTACTGCCTTCACTCTTGGCGGCTCTGTGACCACTTACTGGTTTTTGTCTTCATGTTCATTTTCTCCCACTCATTCTAAGGCTTCCCCCCCCCCCGCCCCCTGCTCTTTAGCCCCATTCAGAGGTCTGAAGCTGTAATCACAACAAGCCCCCAGCAGAGTAACAGGTGAAAGCATCAGCTCTTTTCATGGGCTCCAAAGTCGAACCCCAAAGCTGCGTACCCCATGAAACCTTCTGCCAAACCCCAACCATCAGAGCTGCAATGCTGTGTTACTTAATGAATCCAGCAACTCTATAGCTGAAGCTCTCTCTCAAGTTGGTATTAAACCAACTCATCAATCCGTAATCAATCATGGCGTTCCACCCTCCCCTCCACATCTTAACGCAGCCGGGGCATAGAGCTGTCTGGCACTAACGTGACCTCTCTGCGCGTATTTCCATGTGATCTATAATAGGAATCGTTTATAAACTGTTTTACTCAGAATCTACGTGGTAGTTGATGCCTCATAGTCATACATCTCAACAAGCGCATTTTACGAGCAGAGTTATTAAATATAGTGCTTGCAAGGCCACAGAGTCAGAATCAAACTCTCGCCATTAGGCAGAAACACAGGCAATCACTCCCTTTATATCACCCACACTTCTTAGGCAGTGGAAACCGCTAGAAGACCTGTACTCAAAATAAACACTAGCTGCAGATCATGCCAAACATTATAAATAAAATGTTCTATGCCTTTTCCCTAGCTGATAAAACCTGTGTTTTAAGAGGAAAGGATGACAGGTCCTCTGAAACATTATCACATCATACCTTACCCCACGTGGTTACTGAGACGCAAACGTTCTTTAGGTAGAACCAATAACATGAATAAAATATGCCTGTGCCCTTGGGGGACTCAAAAATCAAATGAGGCCCTGGAAACAGAGATGGTGCTATAAAAGCAGTGTCGACTCTAGGGGCTGACAGAGGAGTGAAGCAGTAATTCTCCTGGAGGTGACTGTCCCACAGAGGAAGTGAGAAGAGAGGTGTGCCCTAGTGAGAGAGCCCTGGAAGGTAACTGGAAAGAAGGGGACAGCTAGGCAAAGGTGAGACTGCACAACACTTTCTAAAATGGTCCAGGCCCCACCGCAAGTGCTGGGGCATCAGTAGCCCTCAGAAAATCACAGGGTGGCTACAGGTGCAGATGCAGAGGAAGACTAGGAAAAGAATTTTTTTTGACATGTCATTTTTATACTTTGTCATTAGTGTAGATAACTTAGACAATACTGTAATTTTTAGAGGGGCGCCACATTATGACAACAGTGTGAACTTTTGACAGAGGCAAAACTGAGTGCCACAGTATACAAATACAAAGGCCAGGCATGATGGAGGACAACAGAAGTTCACTAAGGAGGCATGATGTATTTGAGAATTTCTTAAGTGCCATCCTCACCCTTTTCCTCCTCTACCACTATCTCCTCCTCCTCTTCCTCCTCCTCCTCCTCCTCCTGTGTGTAGGTCGGGGCATCCTGGCACTGCTGGTACTCACACACCAGGTCATTCATGTTGCTCTCAGCCTCGGCAAACTCCGTCTCGTCCATGCCCTCCCCTATGTACCAGTGCAGGAAGGTCTTGCGCCGGAACATGATGGTGAACTGCTCTGAGATGCGCTTGAACGGCTCCTGGATGGCCGTGCTGTTGCCGATGAAGGTAGCCGACATCTTGAGGCCTCGAGGTGGGATGTTGCACACGGCCGTCTTCACGTTGTTGGGGATCCACTCCACGAAGTTGCTGCTGTTCTTGTTCTGCATCTTGAGCATCTGCTCATCTACTTCATTCATGGACATGTGGCCACGGAAGATAGCAGCCACTGTCAGGTAGCGGCCGTGGCGGGGGTCACAAGCAGCCATCATGTTCTTGGTGTCGAATATCTGCTGGGTGAGCTCGGCTACTGTCAGGGCCCGGTAATGCTGGCTGTCCCAGCTGGTCAGGGGGGCAAAGCCAGGCATGAAGAAGTGCAGGCGTGGGAAGGGCACCATGTTCACTGCCAGCTTGCGCAGGTCTGCATTCAGCTGGCCCGGGAAGCGCAGGCAGGTGGTGACCCCACTCATGGTGGCCGACACAAGGTGGTTAAGGTCTCCGTATGTGGGGTCGGTCAGTTTCAGGGTGCGAAAGCAGATGTCATACAGGGCCTCATTGTCGATGGAGAAGGTTTCATCTGTGTGTTCCAGCAGCTGGTGGATGGAGAGGGTGGCGTTGTAGGGCTCGACCACTATGTTGGACACCTTAGGCGAGGGCATCACGCTGAAGGTGTTCATGATGCGGTCTGGGTACTCCTGCCGGATCTTGCCGATAAGCAGCGTGCCCATCCCTGACCCAGTGCCACCGCCCAGCGAGTGGGTCAGCTGGAAGCCCTGTAGACAGTCACAGCTCTCTGACTCCTTCCTCACCAAGTCCATGACTGAGTCTGCCAGTTCAGCTCCCTCTGTGTAGTAGCCCTTTGCCCAGATGTTCCCGGCCCCACTCTGGCCAAACACAAAGTTGTCTGGCCTGAAAATCTGGCCAAATGGTCCAGACCTAACTGAGTCTATTGGGCCCTGCTCCAGATCCACCAAGATAGCCCGAGGTATGTACTTGTTACTAACAGCTTCATTGTAGTACACATTGATTCTCTCCAGCTGTAAGTCACTGTCTCCATAGTAACTGCCAGTGTGGTCGATCCCATGCTCATCACTGATGACCTCCCAAAACTTGGCGCCGATCTGATTGCCACACTGGCCAACCTGGATGTGCACGATCTCGCGCATGGTATAGGCTGCCAAGCAGATAGAGGCGCAGACTTGCGAACTCTGGAGCAGGGAGAGCAGAAAGAGTTTGATTGTCCTGTACACATCAGGAACTTTATAGAGAGAGATGATGTATTTTTTTAATTGATTTTGAAAGAGAGAGAGGAAGAGACAGAAGGCGGGAGAGAGGGGGAAGAAGAGGGGAAAGGGAGAGATTTCTTATTCCACTTATTTATGCACACCTTGATTGATTCTTATAGTGCCCTCACTGGAGACTGAACCAGCAACCTTGGCATAGAAGGACAATGCTTTAACCAACTGAGCTACCCAGACAGGGCGATATATCTTTCTTTTAGAAATCAACCAAGATGGCTTTAATATTCCCCGCTCAGCTTAACTTAACTTAACTTTAGGTAAGATTCTTTCCAACACTAGTTTTCTGATGTCCCTTTCTTAGAGTATCTTCTTTAGAAAATTTATAATTGTAAATGTTTTCCCTACCCCTTCAAAGTATACATAAATCTTTTTAGAAGTTTGTCAGTTGTACAACCCAGGGCCATCTTTCTCAGAGACCTGGGAACTATCTTTTGAAATGCAATCAGAGAATTTATCCTAATAACCCAGTTTCTGTGGCAGGATGGGAGCCTGACCTAAGTGGGCGCCTTGTTCCAAGTTGTAAAAATACCTCCTCTCATAATGATATGAGAAGTTTAATATTCCTTTGGGTAAAACTGAGTAGCAGGCATAGATGCCCTATATCTTTCTCACATCTTAGCCCTTAGAAATCCTACCGCCCCCTGCTTCAGGTGAGTTGGCTCAGGTGAGTTCTGGCTTCTCTCCCCTGTTTCAATAACCTTGACTATAAACTTCCTTGCCTGTTTAGCTTTGTCCAGTATAATTTTGCTTTGACAGAATATTCTCTCCTCTTGGACCCCCTCACTCGCCTTCAGCTATGTCCCCCTTCTGTTCCCTCTGAGAGCAAAACCCCCTTCGAGACTTGTCTGTGCTCACTGTCCCTCCTCCTCACTGCTCCGCTCTGACGTTTGCTCCCCACCCCCAGAACTTCCCTGTCAGTTCCACTGATGAACTCCTCTTAGGACTTTGTTGTTAAATTAACATTTGTCAGGTGGAGTGTAGGGTGCCAGTTGGTGAGTCCCGGGTCAACAACAGACCATTAAAGAAAAGAGAAGTTTATTAAAAGAGAAGACCTATTACATAGGTCCTACTGGAGGTATATAGCACACCCCAAGGGACCACACCTGGAGGTGAAGACAGGATGCAGAGAGAGACAGGACCTGAGATAGAGTGCACTGGTGCCCCTGAGCAAAAGCCAGACTGGCCGGTTCAAACAAAAAGAACAGGGTTTTGGTGAGCTCCACAGGGGTCTTATCCAAGGGGCACACAAGGGGAAGGCCTTGCAAGGCAGGGGAGACTACCAATCACAAGAGCTGTTGGGGTAGTCGTATCGAGAACTTGCATTTGCTTGAGATTCTGTGGGTTGTAATCTCAGGCACATACTTTCATGAAGTTGCTAGTATTGGTTTAAGGTCCCTGCGGGCCACTTGACCAAGGAATACAGATGCCAAAGCAGCAATACTATGGACTAGTTTAGCTACACACCCAACTCCTCTCTTGCTAAATCCAAAGGTCACTTCTTGGTCCTCGTCCTATTTACCAATTAGCAGCACGTGACCCAGCTGATCATTCTGTTCTGGAAATATCTTCTTCAGCTCTCAGCACTTTACACTCTTCCTCTTATTCCGGGCTGTACCTTCTCAGGATCCTACTCAGCTCCATGACCCGGGAGCCTCCCAGGGTTCAGCCCTTCACACTCTCTTTTCTCCACCTACACTCACCCCTACGCGTTCTCATGCAGCCTCACCGCATTAAGTATGATGTATTTGCTGACGACCTCCAAGTACAGATCTTCAGCCTGGAGCCTGTCCCTGAACTCCAGGAGTGCACTGCAACGGGTTATACATGAGTGATTGCTAACCATCTCCACTGACATGTCTAACAGGCATTTCAAACTTACCTCGTCCCACTGAGCACCTTATGCTTCTCCCTTCAAAACCTGCTCTTCCCACATTCTTCCCCGTGACAGTAAAAAGCAACTTCATCCATCTAGTTTCTTAGTTTAAGAAAAAACAAAAACAAAAAAAATCTACAATCATCCTTGATTCCATTCTTTTTCACATAACTATATACAATTTAGTGTAAAAAGTATGACATCCTGCCCATACTTTTAAAATACATCCAGAATGTAGTTGATTCTCACTTCTGCCCCTACAATCACTCTGACCCAAGCTGTCAGCTCTTGGCTGGATTATTGCATTGACCTGCTAATGGGTTTCCTCTTCCCTTCCGGTGCCAACCTCACACTCTACTCTCATCACAACAAAATATATGTCTATTACATCCCTCCCCCTCTCAAAACTTCCCTGAGGGGTCCCACCTTACTCAGAGCACAGCCACGTCCCTGCAGGGGTCAAGGAAGCGTCTCATGACTGGCCCCCACTCCCCAGGATATACAAAGTATCCTGGGTATATTTATAAAATATAAAGTATCCTGGGTATCTGTGTAAAATATACAGGTATACAAAGGATAAAATATGACCATGCCCCACCATGCTCTGCCCTCCACTCCTCATCCTCTCTCTTTTTTTGAACATACCAGGCCCTCTCTCCATCTCAGAACCTTTATACAGGCTGTTCTCTCTCCCTGGAGAGCTTTTCCTCAGACACCGTCACCCGCCCTCAGGCCTTTGCCTAAATGTCACCTTCCACAAAGGCCTTCCCTGACACTCCCTCAAAAGTTGTACCTCCTCTCCCTTCCCTGATTGATTTTCCTCCAAAGCTCTAATCCTATGTAGATGACACGGGTTGCTTCGGAATTCTTTACTATGTAGCTGCCTTCACTAGAATATAAGCTCTACGAGGGCAACGACCTTCTGTTTTGTCTGTTTTTTCCAGCAACAGGAAATGCTCCAGCACCTACCATGTGCTCAGCTGTGAGTGAAGGAAGGCAACATGAAAAATAAAAAGAAATAAAGGGATGGGTGAAAAAGGTGACGAGATTAAGGAGTACAAGTTGGCAGTCACAAAACAGTCACGGGGATGTATAGTGCAGCATGGGAATATAGTCGATGACACTGTAATAACTAGGTATTAGGTCAGGTGGGTACTAGACTTATCTGGGTGATCAGTTTTTAAGGTAAGTAAATGTCTAAGCCCTGGTACACCTGGAACTAAAATCATGTTGTATGTCCCCTGTAACTGAAAAATAAAAAATTTTAAACATAGGATAAAAATAAAAACTCGAAAAAATAAAGATAATGGCATGTGGAGCTACCAGAAATGGGACTTCCACACAGGTCCAGACAAGCAAGAAAAGGGTTCTGAATGGAGGCAGTGACAGAACAGACAGAACTGCAGGCACCGAACTTGTTCCTCCCTGAGAAGGGGATACGGTAGGAGGGCGTTCCCAAACTTCACTGGTCAAGGAACCTTTCTGGGCGGAAGTGTCTTACAGGCCTGCATTTCCATAGAGCCTCCTGTGGAAAACTTGGGACTAGATGTTCTCCATAGCTTCTCCTCAGCACTGAAGTTCAATGAGCCTGCGTCACAAATCATAGATGACTCAGTGCATTCATTCCATGTGCCTTCTCCGTTACATCATAGTGACAATCATTAAAACCTATGCGGGCATCAGACCTCCAAGACAAAGACGAGAGCCAGCAGTCCCCAGGCACAGACAACCAGACCAAATAGGCTGCTGTGACAGACATCAGAGTGTCACCTCACAGGAAATCTGGGAGCAGGCAGTCCACTTTGGAGGCTAGCCCACCAATATCAGGGCTTCAACTAATTTCTGATTTTGTGGTGTGTTTAAAAACAAGAAACACACTCAGGAATGTGTATTGGTTGCTACTGCTCCAAGTGTCATGTCATCAGTGTAGTGTTTCACATTGGAAGGAAGCAGTAGGCAGCAAACCTTTCTTCTCATAAGATTCCATTTTTTTTAATCTGGGATTTTGTTTTTGTTTCTGTTCTTAATCTTTCCTGGAAACCACCATCAGACGCATTGGTCAGTGTCACATGGTCACTTAGAATTGCAATGATTGCTGGCAAAACAAAGGGGGATTATTACAACTGTCCTAGACCTTCATGATTCATTCCCTAGGGTGAGGAAGGGAGACCTCCACTCCCTAAGATCAGGGGTCTGCACCCAACCTGAAGAAAACCGGGGACTCCAGTAAGAAGGAAGCAGAGATCGTGGCAGGTCGCTTAGACAACACACAGTTGGCCATGGCTGCCAGTGGTTGTGTCTGATAGATGACCTTAGGGTCCTCATGTCAGTCCCAGCAGTTACTGATGGTACAGGGGATGTATATCACCTGCCAGCCTTGACTGACTGGCAGTAGCAGACAGGAAGTGCCTTTTTAAATGAAGCATTTGTAAGATCCCAGGAAAGAAGTTCCATACATTTTCACAATAGCTGGGATGCCCATGGCGCAGGGCAGAGGCGAGCAGCATGAATGCTTGCATTACCGATTTTCCCTTCCTGGCTGGATTGTCCCCAGCCTGTGGCAGATGAACTTCCATGCATCCTACCTACTATGATGGCAATTCCTATTCTCCCCCCTAAAAGACCAGTCTCAACCCCACCGTGCTGTTTCAGTTTCCTCTGTGTCTGAATGTCATCTGCTCATATTAGGGAGGAAAGGATGAGTCCGGAAGGGAGCGTAGGCAGGTGGAATCTCACATTCCTCCTCATATCTGGTGGAAGCACAGGTAAAACGAGCCTTATGCTGTCCTCCCAAGTTCTAAATATGATGGACTGTACTATAAGCACAACCCTTGAATAAGAACTTGAGATAAATCGATTTAGAAACTTTGTACCTGAAAAATTGTCTCAACCTGAAAGCACCAGTATTTCTGAACCGTTTTTTTTTTTTTTTTAATAATTTTATTTGGTTACTTTTCAAGTACATTTTTTTTCCCTCTTCCCCCCCCCGCCC